TTCCTCCCCATACACAAAGACCACCACCACCTTCACTGGCTATCCAAGCCAAGCCCTGCCTACGTAGGGCTGGCTATGGCGCTGCCCTCAGCAGCGCCCTGCCTTCTTCCTTGACGCCTGCGCGCGCCCGGCATCCGCTAGCGCACAGCAAGCAGCCCGCGAGCGCACGCTCCAGCAGCGCTGCCGCTTTTACAAGCCAGCGCCCTGAATGCCCTCTCCCTGGCGAGCTCTTTCCTATATGGAAAGTGCTCACCCAGTTTGCAGCTGGGCTTCGACGCGTGTGTGCCCTCTATCTTCACGTTGGGCCAAAGTGTCTGCGCCCAAGCCCGTTCAGACAGTGCCTGGGACCGAATTGGTTAGGCATGCCCAACCACCTAGGCACAAACGTGTGGTGTTCCCTGCTTCGACCACATTGCTCGAAGAGCCTGGAAGGCTCACAAATAATTCTGATTCTCACGAGCAAAGCGGATGTAACCAACTGGCGTGTGGCAACTGTCTGGCGCCCATCAAAATTTGCAAAAATTGACGAGTTCAGGGCACATTGAGATTCAGGGGGACCGCCTTCATTCAGGGCGGGCACGCGCCTGCTGCAGGGCCTTATGCCAAGAGGTAAACCCTCACACTCCCTCCTCCTATTCTTCGATTGTCCTCTGAGAAGTCCTTATACAGCAGGCTGCTTCCCTTTCAAATTTCTTTCGTAACTTGAGATAATCTGGGGAGCAGTCTTCATTAATTATGCTCTTGCAAACCACCGATCTTCTTTAGGATCAGTATGATGTCGGAACTGCACTCGATACTCTACATCTGCCGTTTCGAAGGGCATCCCCTGCCTGGAGGCTTGGGCACAGGCATCAGCTTGTGCTCAACGATATCATCAATGTCCACATGTCCGTCCATGGTTTGGGGCAGCATTGATCTTCTTGAGGGAAATTGTTCAGTTTCAGCGAAAGAAGCCAAGTTGGTTGCGTGGAAAACAGGGTGTGTACGAAGGTGACCAGGGATGCGAATGACATATGATTGACCATCTGGTTGATCTTCTACTATATCTAAGACTTCCCAGGGTTCAAAGTACTGTGGCATCAGTTTGCAAAAGATTCCCTTGTCCCAACTCAGATGACTTTACCCAGACTCGTTCACGAACCTGAAATGTTGATGACCGTCTGTGTCTGTTCTCAGATGCAACCATGGCATCTTGAGCTTTCTTGATGTGCTCGACAGCCTGCTGCAGCATCTGTTCGTACTGCATAGTGTTACATGCTGCACATGCACACACGGGCCATTTTGCAGGCCCGACGTCGTTCAGGCCAAAAACCTGAATTTCGGGCTTTAAGCCTGATATCCAAGGCTTACAGGCCCCGCCGACGGTTCAGCCTGACAGCCCGAGAAAGGACCTACAGGCTCCAGCCTGTTTCCCTACAGGGAAACTTCCAGGCTCTTGCCTGGAAGCTTCGTTCTGACAGGGCCTACAGGCCCCAGCCTATTTCCCTACAGGGAAGCTTCCAGGCAAGAGCCTGGAAGCTTCCTTCTGACAGGGCCTACAGGCCCCAGCCTGTTTCCCTACAGGGAAACTTCCAGGCTCTTGCCTGGAAGCTTCCTTCTGACAGGGCCTACAGGCCCCANTCTGACAGGGCCTACAGGCCCCAGCCTGTTTCCCTACAGGGAAACTTCCAGGCTCTTGCCTGGAAGCTTCCTTCTGACAGGGCCTACAGGCCCCAGCCTGTTTTCCTACAGGGAAACTTCCAGGCTCTTGCCTGGAAGCTTCCGCAGGGTCTAGGCCAGGGAGGCATTGGCAAGAGCGGCCTCCTGCGCATAGGGCATTGGCACGACCAGCCTCCTGCACGGGCCAACACTATAAAGGACTGGCCCGCCCTACAGGGGGAGGCAGTCGACAGTTGTAGTCTTCAGGATTCGGGAGCAGCCCTCTGGAGGGAGCGCTTCGTTATAGTAGTGGTAGCGTTAGCTAGTAGCCTTCGGCGCTGGGCGCCATAGCTAGGATAGTGGTAGAGAGAGAGAGAGAGCTTGGGCGGAGGCCAGGGGTACCTACCTGCAACGCCGTTGCTCCAGCTTCGTCTTCAAGGTACCTGCAGCACAGCGCCACATCACAGGTTAGTATTTGGTTCGTAACAGTGAGAGAGAGAGAGTTCTTCTTCCTCTTCTTCTCAGTCCACCATCTCCTTCTCTCCCTCTCAACCCTTGACTTCACTGCATTTGCAGACTGCGAGAGAAGAGATACCGAGCTTGGTGATATCGGATCCAAGACTCGACTTTTTGGGATTTAGACATGGCAACGAGGGGTTATTTGGGATCGGTGACAAAGACTTGGTGTTAACGACACTCCCATCTTCCTCCCTCCTTTCGTCTGATCCTTACCTCTTCGTCTATGCATGTCTGGACCTGGCGCTTTCTTCCTGTGTGCAGCGCCAGGCTCCTTCACACCTGGTGAGGGGTATGTATGTTTGGTCTGAGTTCAACCATCGGTTGGACTAGTTATCAACATTCTAGCAGTCTGTTTCGCTACTTGCTACTACGTGTGTAAGGTCAGTCCTTGTCAGGTCAGTCTTTGTATCTAAGACTTCCCTGCGCTATTCAGCACTTTTGTATGTATGAGAATGCACATTGTCTGTCGAGATTCTACTCTCACCGCATTGTCCATTTCAGTCCTTTTCGTCACATTGCAGTTCCTCGGTTATTACAAACATCACATATCTGTGCATGTAACAACAGCAAACTCTATGCTGCCTGGTGCTGCAGTTGGCTGATTTTCAGGCAACAGGAAGTCAAGAGCCGATCTGGGCTTCCAACCAAGATGCAGCTCATTGGGAGTCACACCGGTAGTGCTGTGCACAGCATTGTTGTACAGGCTGGCGCTGAGCGGTAACTTCTCATCCCAGTCATCTTGACTTGGCTTAATATAATGCCGAAGCAAGTGCTGCACTACCCGGTTCATCTCCTCGGCCTGGCAATTAGACTCAGGGTGGTTCCCTGATGTCATTTGTAGTCGGGTGCCCATCTGTTGGGCTGTACTTTGCCACAGTTCGCTGGTGAATCTGATATCCCTGTCACTCACAATAGACTTAGGGAAACCAGCTCATGTACCCACTTATCCATGAACAGCTTGATGATGTGGTCAGTCCTAGCTGTCTCAGGCATACCGATTAGTCTAGCACACTTACTGAACCTGTCCACAATGACAAAGATGTGACGTTTACCGCTTTTGCTGGTCACAAGAGTATCCATGAAATCCATGGACACACTCTGACCAGGACCAGCAGGGATAGGCAAGGGCTTAATAAGCCCAAGCGGTGCCTGCATCCGTGGCTTGTCCGATTGACAAACCTGACAAGTCTCTACATATTTCTTCACATCATCCATCATTGTGGGCCACCAAAAACGCCACACTAAATTTGTTGTTGTCTTTTTATAACCGAAATATCCGTTTGCATCATGGCATTCACCAGGTTTGCATCCCTGTCGACCGCCGACCCCGACCGCCAACCGTATTGCAGCCGACCAGTTGGGCCGACCGGTCGGCGGTCTGCCGACCAGTCGAAAAGAAAAAAAAAAAAA